TAGAACAGATTTGTTCTGTCCTATAAGCGAATTGGGCCTGTTCGCTTTTTCTATACCTGACCTGAGATGAATTTGATCAAGGATTGGTCACATAGAAAAGATGACATTGGACGCATGTCGCGAGGGGATCCACACTAGCTGCTAATCTCAGTCTAGCATTCAGACCTTTCCCAAGTTTTTGCACTTCTCTGGTGTTTGCTTTACTTGCCGGATCCTGTAAAAGAAGAGGAAGGAGGAGGAAAGACAGAGGTGAGCGTGAACCTACCCTCTGGCCTTGTGAACTCCCTGAGGGTGGGCAAGGAGAAGAAGGTGTGGGCCACAGAGACCGTGGGGTCTAGAACGCAGGCGATGTCGTTGGGCTGACAGGACTTTATACAGCGGACCGTGTCAGATCGTTCCAGGGTCAGAGTCCTAAAGGAGAGAATACATCACACACGCCGACAAAAATCACAAACACCGAAGGCCCTCTGACTCTTAGGTGCTTTCTATTTCTAGTTTTCAGAGTCAAATACCTTTGCTCTCTAAAGCTCACAATTACAAGCCACTCGAAGAGTTCTGCCCACTACATAATCACGAACTCAGTGGGATTCCCTCCATGGCTGCTACACAAACACTGTCTGTTAGGGTGCTGGATTTAGCTCTCAGCATTAGGAATAATCAAAATCCGTGTGGTTAGGAAGAATAATAAACCAGCAATGGCCGACAGCTCGTGGTACAGCCAGACTTTATAGCTTGTGGAGACTCGCGCCGCCGTCGACGCTCTTCTGATGCCCCGTGTCACGCTGTGTGGGAAATGAATTACTGCGCTCACAAAGAATGATCCACAACCTGCTCAGGGAAAATATTTGGATTTGCAAAGCATCCCCAGCTTCACATCAGATAATCTCCTGAGGAGGATTTATGTAGCAAGGGAATGTTCTAAAAGACTCCTAAATTGTGAGCAACATGACTCGACAACTCCCCGTCCGCTCTCCCTGGGGCCGCTCTCATCCTATTATTTAGGACTTTGTTTATTCCACAGACTAATCAGTGACAGGTCGGAGACACTGGAGGCTCCCAAAGCCAACGCCACCTGGAACATCGCTTTTCACTTCCTGTCTGCCGCAAAAGGAGTTCATGAGATGCTCTGGACGCATTAACGCCCTCATAAATCAACACTTTGTCCATGAAACGGCGAGGAAGTTTTAAAAGAAGAAGAAGGAAAAGAAAAGATGCCTTGATGTTAAATTAGGCCGCTCATGGTCGGCCTTCACAGAGGAGAGATGTCAGTCTGTGGTTATATTGGGTTACAAAAACATGAGAGTTGCCATGTACGGGTCAATTTAATGCGCACGGGGCGGTCACACAGCCACATGTGAGTCACGGGGTTGTGGATCTCCGGTGCTCCTCGGAGGACCCATCCCGCCGCAGTTCCAGCGGCCGGGCTCAGTTGGAACTGCGGCGCAGAGAGGAGCCCCTCCGACAGAAAGTCAAGCCGGCACTATAGGGGCTTGTAATTAGCAATTAGCGGGCGGGTCCAAGTTTTGCTTTGGTCCAGGCCAAACCCACAAAATGTTCTAGTAGCTTATAATACCGCCGCCTGAGCGGGGCTCTGGAGGACGAGGTGAAAGTTACCGAGGTAGGGAGTGGATTTATGAGAAAATGGCAAAGCGTGAACAGACCCCCACTGTGCGTGGCACGCCTTACAGCGCCACGCAAAAATATTGGGAAAAGTATTTTTTTGTTTGTTTTTTTATTCATTATTTTAAATCATTCACACCAGCATTTATGTGCACTTCATTATTACTTGATGTCAATTTTAAACTCAAACTCTGTCTGACAGGGTTTGAGTTTGCGATGGACAATTTCCATCGCTGGAAATTGTCTGTGAAGAGCCATTTTTCAGGTTTAGACTTTGACTCGACCAATCTGCCACGCAAAGATGCTTGGATCTAAAATATTTGGCGCTGTAAGGATGTCCTGTTGAGAAGCTGTGTGTCTCTGCAGCTCCCTATCTTTCAGCATAAAGCCTATCTGCACGACGAACTTAATTTCCATTAATTAGATCGACTCGTTAGCGCAATTGTACCACTGTACAACAACTTACACTAAATTTGTGTTCATACTAGTCAACTAAAGTAAATTAATTGGATTGGCTCAATTATATTAAATCGGGCTACAATGAATAGTAAAACTTAAATTAAGTTGAACCGGCACAAGTGCTTTAAATCGGAACAACAGATCTACATAATTCTGAAATCATCAAATGGAAATCCTTTCTGATTTTTTTTATGTTAATCATAAGAGTTTTTTTTGTTTGTTTGTTTTATTGTGGAGCTAACTTCAACTCTCTTGTCTGCTTCTCTCATCGATGCTCCGCCTTGGTTTCCACATGGTTTCTATTTTCAGATGTTGGAGTGAACCAAGTTTGGATTACAGTTTTATGGCCTTAATCTGAAACTTCACCACACCCTCAATCTGGACCTGTCGGCTGTGTTCCTTGCTCTTCAGAGTGCCACCAATAGTCTCCAACGAGCCTCAAACTCTTTCACAGAACAGCAGGATCTGTACAGAGATTCACATGAAAATGGCTGGATTGTGAAGGCAATCGGTTGCACTTGTTTTTATTGTTTTATTTATTGCTACGAATTTCAAATTTGACTTAGTAATCTAACACCTTGAAATTGGGCTTCTGTCTCTTTAAGAAACTTCTGCTCTTTGTGAAACTCCGCCTCCAGGAAGTAGCAGGCTTTGGGCTGCAGCCTCGCACCATGTCAGATTATTTATACTCATGACTCTCCCTTCCACCCGGCTCCTTCTTTTGCCGCTGCATCCCATCGCTAACCCTTGAACAATGTTTTTACCAGCTTTGCAATGACAAGTATAATGTGCACATAAAATTTGCAGCTCCAGCAGGAGTTTGCTAATTGCTGCTGGCTAGTCTGAAGGAGCAGAATTGAGGTGTCAGAGGAGACGGCTGCTGTGTGAGGCAGAAGATTAGAAACTGCAACTCCAAGAAGGAGCTGTGGATTGAAGGCGGGGCTAGGTCCAACCAGGCATTTTTGGTTGCCATGGGAGATTAAAGTATTTCTCAAATAATTCATGAAAGAAGCCAATCATCACTTCAGGCATGTTTTTTGATGGAGTAACATTCTAACATGATGTAACGCAAATAAATGCATTTTAAATAATACTGCCCTTTTAAAACAACAAATATCATCTATCATTTTACTTTTGCATGACTCATATCGTAAATTTCCAATAAAAAACATTGAAATATGTGGCGACAAAATGCAGAACAATTCAAAGTTTTGAAAGCTTTTGCAATGCACTGCAGGTAGGGGGAAGTGATTCAAGGTAAACAGAAAAAAAATGTCTGTATTGGCCGATCAATTTTACACTCATCCATGCAAACATGCCGTCAGCCACAGGAACACATGCGCGTCTTCGTCGGCACTCCCCCGCCTCACGTGGCTCAGCCGAGGGGAGAAAAGAAACAAAAAAACAAAATAGCAATACCTACAGACCAGAAAGAAAAACAGACTTTTTGGATAAAAGTGCTCTGGTCAAGTTTTGGGCCCTGTGTTTTTTTGGTAATTATTATTTATAGTCGGCACATTGATAACGCCCCAACACAAACACTGCAGGGCATCATTCATTTTGTGTGCGGTGATGTTGCCGTACCACAAATTGTTCAGACCACCGGCCAGAGCCCAGAGCCCCATAACTCAATGTCAGAGGGGAGGGAGGGCAGGGGGGGGGAAGGAGGTGAAAACGGGGGGACCTGTGCACCGCCAGGCTCTCATTTTAAGGATATCCCTGCTAGGAACCAAGTGCATCCTCGCGGGCCCGACGGCTCTGGACAGAAGGAAACCAGGGACATCTGAATTTACAGTTAATAAAAGCCGCAGCCTCGTACCATGTCAGAGTATTTATACTCATGACTCCCCCTTCCTCCCAGCTCCTTTTGCCACTGCATCCCATCGCATGTCACTTACTTTGCCTGCTTCTGGATTATCTGTCTGCTTTGGGGTCTGCAGCCGCAGTGGAAACCTTTGCATTTCACATTAAATGCGATGGAAGCCAAAAAGATGTGCATGAAAACCACCGCTGCAGAGAGACGTACATGTGGTGCCTGACAGTAAGGGGTGTGGGAGTAGCATTAGGCCCGATCTGGTTCACGAATGTAATCTGGTCACTTTGGTCTTATAAGTGGTAAATATGAAGGTGTTTGCATTGATAAAGCTGCACATAGCGACAGTTTCAAACCTGTTACAGGTAATTCAGAGTGTCTTTTCGTTTATGTTGTCATTTCTAAAGCTATTTAATATGCACCCTTTATGGGATTTCCGTTCGCAAATTACACAAATGCTGGTCACTTTGAAATTAATCTTTAAAAAAAACAAAGAAAAAAACATTTAAAAAAAACCCAACAATATACCAGAGTGGAATACTGGAGAATTTGCATGCACAGCTGCATTTCCTCTTTGCTGAAACCACTGGAATACAAGAAATGTGAAACTATGCGAAGGAGCTCACCATGCCTACAACTGCGACTTGGCCTCCCACCCTAACGGCTCCCATCGCTGCATTTGATTAGAGCCCCACAATGCCCCATTATCAGGAACAGGACTTGACTTGAACATGTGTTATTTCTATCTCAGTTTTAATAGAAAAGTGTTCATCCAGCACCGCAACCATAAAACGCTGCAGAATGTCAGACTTTATCATGCAACCATCGTCAAGTTACACACACTCACAGGGCTTGCTAAGGGTCGTTACCGTTTAACCATTTGCCCGGACCGAGGGCGCCACCTGCAGTTGTGGCTGTGAGGGACAGCAACAACACATCACAGATGTCACTCAGAATCCAGAAAGATGACGTTTCAGCTTAAACAATTGATCATGAAAAAGTACTGGAAGTGAAAACTTTGTTTTCTAACCTTAAGTTTTAAGATAGGATTCTTTCCAGACACATAATTTCTCCTTAAACTCCAATAATTTCAAGCCACAGCCACTGGTAACTAAGTGATTTTTTTTTTACTTGGATTTAAAGTGTTTAATATGTAACATGTCATCCATGTTTTATTGGTTATTCTCATAAAAATGTCTGAAAAGTTTTATGACTGCAATAGCATAATGTTGCATCAAAAATGTTCAAACTTTGCATTGAGTACATTTAGACACTAAAACAATAATTTGTTTAATAGGCAATAAAAACACTGCAATTATTGGCACCACTAACAACTCCACTAAAATGCTTATGTGAACGAGGAGAGGTGGCGTTCCACCAGCCAAAGTCGGATGCGATGACGGCACAAAGCTTAACGGGAAGAGCTCTGATTTCCAGTGGCTTACAGGAAGTTAGCACATGTAGCAACCACCTAATATTCATTTAAGATTTAATCCTACGTTGTATGCTCTAAAACACTCTCTAGGATTTCGTCTTGTCCTTCTTTCATGATTCTAATCAATTTCTCACACTAGAGGCCTCATTCCTGCCAAGTTTTGGATTTGAAAATATGGAAAATGTTTCGCCATTGGAGTCTACATATGATATAAAACGGGAAATGTGGGAGAAAATACCATTATACGACGAGAAAGAGAGGAAAAATATGGTAGTTTCTGGAGGCTGGAGAGGGAGGCAGGTCTGTCATAATGAGCAATAAATCAATTAATCACATGACAAATTAAAGCGAGCTCAATAATTTTCATTTTGCACAATTTATCCTCCTCTTTTTTTTAAAACTCTCTTTCTGCCAAAAAACTGGATCACAAAAGTTTGGTTCATTGTTCTCAACCATCCCTTTTTTAAGCGACAGTTTTGTTTCATAGACGTCATAAATTAATTTTACGTTTTGTTTCTGGTGTTCTGTTCATTTATTTTGGAAATTTAAAGTGTCTTCCAGTCCCAGTGTTAAATGTTCAATAAGGTTTATTGATCTTCTACGCCGCTTTTGTTATAACATGTGAAAATGGCCTCAAAACAACAATTATTATTGTTCATCACAGTATAGCTTCTGGGAAAATGTATTGTTCCTGAAAGATTTGTTATTGTGACAGACCTGGCTGTAAGTATAAACAAGCAATAACAAAATATTCTGTGAGATACAGTCTGATATGAATTTATTTAAGACTTTTTACACCTTGTTCCTATAGGAGTGCCAATAATTGTAGAGTCTGCCTGTATCTTGAAGAATATACGTCTACATCGTATTATCAATATTATGTGAAACATTCCTCTCCTAATGGTTAACTACTGTGTTTAATCCTCAACAAGTCTTGTGTTTACTCCTGGAAGGGGTTGTATGGTACTCTGGGCTCTTCCTGGGTGACAAACACCAGAACCTTAGCCAGGTAAATGGAGACCGTGCCGGAGCGGCGCAGCCTCAGCTCCAAGTCCAGCTGGAAGTCCTGGGGCTTGTCGATGAGCCTTGCCACTGACATCACGCCGCCGGAGGGCGTGCGCTCGGCCTTGAAGAACCCCCCCTCGTTGCCGGTGGTGAGCGCCACCTCAATGTCATCACCAGGCATCATGTGGGAGGGGCCCATGCGGAAGATATTGGTGAAGACGGGAATGTCGGTGGGGAACGTGAGGTAGTAGTAGGTTATTCTCAGGGGCAAGATCGGGCAATCGACAGAGTCGTTGCAAAGCAAGCGTTCGCATCGACTGCAAGATGAGAGGAGAGAGGGAGGGGAGAAGTGGTTTCATTTTTAATAACCATGCGTTGCATGCAGTAGAAGAAAACATGATTTTTAACAGGGTAATGACGGTTATGATGTCGTCTGAGAACATGCTAGAGGTTCTTCAAACTGTTGTTTTTAGACAATGCTACTTAGTCAGAAAAGTGACAAAAATAGAAGGTAGAAAAATATGAATGTGCATTTCATCATCTATCTCAACAAGGGAGAACATGCTACAGTCAAATGTATTCTACAATCATTCCAACATGAAGCAGACTGAGCATGCAGGACAATGATTTGCACTTATGAATATGGACCAAATTTAAAAAGCAAACAAAAGAACATCTCTGGGCCTAATCTGAGTCCTGTGTGATTCACATAAAACCTTCTAATATTAACTTTGTGATAAGACTACAGACGCAAACTGCAGGGCTGAAACAATTAATTGGTTAATCACGATTAAGTCAAATAAATAGGTCATCGATTAACCGCTAACTGGAGGATAGACTCAAAAAAGTTTATTTGCTAAAAGACCGACATATTAAGAGCAGCAATTAACCCAAAACTGGGCAAAAATATAAACTTTTTTTCATTTAAGATAAAAAAGGCTTATATGCTGAAATGAAAATAATCAGAAAATGTCATTTTTTAAAAAATCCAATTAATCGTCAGACATCATTAGTAGAATAAACAATTACAAAAGTAATCATTAGCTGGAGTTCTGGACTCGATGTTCAGATACTCACGTCTGTCCGACACGCCTGTAGTTTTTGGGACAGTCAAAGGACAGGCACCTGTACCCGCCCTGGATGTTGAAGCAGCTCTCATTTTCCGTGCATGTGTGTCTTCCTGTTACACATTCGTCAACGTCTGGATTCGGAAAAGGTGGAAAAAGTGTTTAAAAAAAAAACATTCTCAAATATAATCTGCAACAAACAAAACTCAGCAAGGATCAGAAACGACGGCGCTGCTTACCCTGGCAGCTGCGCCCGTTCACTGCTAACGTGTAGCCGTTGGCAGGGCAGGAGCAGTGGAAGCTTCCCGGCGTATTGTGGCAGCGATAGGAACAAATATGGCCGCCAGTGGGAAGGGCGCATTCATCAATATCTGCGTCGATGAACAGACGCCCATCGAAACGAGTCAAAACAGGGCAAACGTTTATGCACATATAAACATTTATTCGTTTCGTCAGAACGTATTCAGGGGGCAAGAGTGAGGTCTTTCATTTTACCTTCACAAGTCATGGCGTCGATGTCATTGAGCTGGTAGCCGCGGCGACAGTAACACTGGTAGGAGCCATACACGTTGGCACACTCCTGGCTGCACGGGTTGCTCTCACACTCATTCACATCTACAAAGGAGGAAACGCGGTTCTAAACGAAATCCTTCATCCCTGTAACATAAATGTAACTGCTTCGTTCTTCAGTAGATCAGAGCAACGCATGGCTACTTCCTGTTTTCCTAAGGTTGTAAATTTGACATGATAAACAGCCCCATCTCCCCGTCTCCACAGCAGCCATGGGTTGAGTCAACATTTTGTTTGAGAAATTGTACCAAGACGCTTTTAGAATAAATAATTGACAATTAAAACAAAACTTTAATATAATAGATATTTTCTCGCCATCGCAGTTCCGGCCATCCTTAGCCAGTTGGAAGCCAGTGGTGCAACTACACTTGTAGGACCCAGGGATGTTATCGCATTTGTGGCCGCATAGTCGTCCAGGGTAGTGCCTGCACTCATTAATGTCTAAAATAAAATAATAAAAAAATAATAAAAAAAAACAGATCATAATAGAAAGAACAAGAAAGAAGATGAATGAAGTATTCTTCACAGATCTCGTTAGAGCTTACCTTCACAGAGTCGGTTGATGCTGTTAAAGTTGTACCCGGTTTCACACTCGCAGCGGTACGATCCCAGCTGGTTGATGCAAGCGTGGCCTGAGCAGACCTGCTCGGCTCCTTTGCACTCGTCGATATCTGCAGGGACGGGCACACAAACTCAGCGGAGCAAAAGCCACTCTCGGTCGGTGCCTAAGCCAGGCGCGGTTTCGCCGTCATACCGACGCAGCGCGTGCCCTCTTCATTGAGGCGGTATCCCCGACCGCAGTTCACAGAGTTCCTCTGGCAGGCGTAGGAGCCGACCGTGTTCACGCAGATCTGCCCTCGGTGGCACGGACTCGACTGGGCGACACATTCATTGATATCTGGAAACACAGACCGTGCCAAATTAGGCTGACATTTACTTTTCTTCAGCAAATATCGTGGAAGTCTTAAATGGTGGCCGGAAACATTGACAGTTTTGTATGTAAATCCTCCCTCGACTAGATCATTTCCAACACTTCTGAGATCTAGTGCTTTACTGCTGGTGTTGTAGTACTATTCAAAAATCTAATCTGTTACCAAACATTGAATGTATTACATTAAGCTGTACCAGGTCACACAGGAAAACAACACTCTTCAGTGTTACAGAGTGAAGAAAATTACAGACCAGCTTTTTTCAGTGTCTGTGTGATTCATAGTGGCATGAAAACATGGTCAGAGAAGACTGGAAATAATTTGCTACTCACTTGTAAGAAAGAAAATCAATTTCAATTTATATTGGCTGGCCAAAGTTTAATCAAAAAAACAGATCAGAAATCGGCACCAAAGTTCTGTTCAGTACCTTTTTAAAATCGTTCCCAAACACCTGAAGCTGGTCAATTATATATTCAGATGAAAAAATTCTTTCTGCACAATTAACAGATATAACATGTTTTTTTTCTGATTCCCTTCCAACATTTGGCCTCTATCGCCGATGGCGAATCAATATGAAAAAAGGGAGCAAATTTCCACCAAAGAAATAGAAAAAAGTTGGACATTTAAACTTTTGGACATTTCTGAGATTAATCTCAAAATTGCTCTGTTTTCTGGCCCGGACACGCCATCGCACTATCCAAAAGCTCTGCAGAAAAAAAAAAAAAAAAAGTCCTTCACAAAACAACAATCTCACCGATGCAGCTTCCGAGCGCGTCCTGGATGAAGCCCGAGCCGCAGGTGTTCTTTGGGGCGCAGCGGAACGACCCCTGCGTGTTTTGACACGTGAACTGTTCACCGCAGTTGTGGATGCCCGTCTCACACTCATCTATGTCTGGACGCAGTCAAAACAGAAACGCTAACTTACACGTCACATATGAACACCAGCTAAAAAAAGAAAAGACAAGAAAAAAAAACCCAAAGAGGACGCATGCAGCTGACCTTTGCAGTCGTTGTTTTCGGTGAGCTCGTAGCCGGTCCCGCAGCTGACCTCTCTCATGCAGCGGAACGAACCCTCGGTGTTGATGCAACGCTCTCCCCCGCGACAGTTGCTGGATCCCAGCAGGCACTCGTTGATGTCTGAGAGACCAGGAGGACACGCAGCTCTTTATGCGCTCGCCGATCGCCTCCTGTTTTCATTTTCAGCATTAATTGACGGGGTCATTTACCTTCACAGCTCTTCCCGTCCGGTTTGAGTTTATAGCCTTTCATGCAGGCGCAGGAGTCATTCCCGACACAGACGTGGTCACACTTCCCTGAGAAATGACGCAGACCAGGAAGGATTGGTTCGAAGCCTGATGGCGTCTTGTTAGGCAATGACACCCGTTTGGTTTTCACACCCCTTACCTTTGCATGGATCAACTCCCACTGCTACGCCAGCGCTGCCATCCTGGTTGGGTACTGCAGGACACATAGAGAGTAGATAAACCCTGTTCACATTCACAAATTACCTCTAACCTGTGGTATGAGACGAAAGATCCATATCAATGATAAATGACATCCTAAAACATGTCAAACTCAAGTGAGGGCCAAATGCAGCCCAGAACAGCTTCTTATGTGGCCCTCTTGACTTCAGTACAGTTTTATTCTGCAATCATGGCAATTTACTCAAAATCATGGGTTGAAATCACAGAAAGCACATTCTAAGGTCATGACATTTTTCTTCCCCTTTTGTTATACATGCAAGAAGACAATGAGAATATTTGTCCACCAGGTGGCACAATGTCACCACTCACCTTTTTGAATAGATTTTTTTTTTCTCTTTTGTTTTCCTTCTCGTAGTTTGCTTTCACCTTTCCCGCAAAACATTTCCACATGATTCGAGAGTTTTTACCTACATTCAGTCTGTCCCAGTGCTGCTGTCTGGTTGTCTGAGGCTCCGTCCATGCAGCAGGCCCGGGACACCAGGCTGCACTGGTAGCCCACTGACAGGTTGTGGTCGCAGGGTATGTTCAGGTCCTGAGCTTCCTTCCCCAGAAGACAACAGTCGCAGCACATCTGTGCAAAACGGAACACAAAAATAAACATTGCAGAGATAGAGAGAGAGAGAAGGAAAGAGAGATAATTACTCACAAGTCAATCCTGTAATTCTACAAAAAAAAAAAAAAAAAAAAGATTATCAGGAATCCATGTTCCAGCAGAAGAAAGCCGAGGAATGAAAACAGGAAAGGGATAGACTGGAGGTTGTTGAAGTCTGACCCGGGGACAGTCTGTTTAGACTTTGGTTAAATTTGTTTAAATCTTTCAGATGGCCAGATAGAAGAGCTCAAAACGGACAGATACACCAGCTGGCATGCTTCAGAAAGACAAACATCCTGGACAGGAAGTCGGTAAGGAAAACAAGAAGACAATGATGAGATGGCATCATCCCCCTCTGGCTGATGCCGTTCTCCGTCTATCACTGTGACAGTCTGCCATGAAGAAGAGCGATCGCTCAATCAGTTCAGACTTTGAAAAGAGTGCAACCACTGCCCTGACAAGTAGCTCCTACAGTGAGCCCAGAAGTTGACAGCTTGTTTTAAGTTTGCATTAATCACGAGTATTCCCTTAGGTAAAGCCTTGTGACGGACTAGCAACCTGTCTCGATGTCTCACCCAATGACCTCTGGAGATAAGCACCAGTGACCCCAGAACAACAACTGGGGTAGACTGGGTATAGACAATGAATATTCCCTAAAGTTATCAAACACATTTTTTCACAAACTTGTTTCAAGTCAAGAAGAACAAAAAGGGCTTTCCTTTTTTTTGTAACAATGCCAATTTATAGCCATTGGCATTGTTACAACACAGATGTAATCAACCAAATCTTTATTACTGTGTACTGTTTGCCAATTGCCTGTTGGTGAAATACAGATTCTTCAGGCAATGTTTTGTGTGCGTGTCATCGATGCAACTCTCACTTCAAAAGTGAACAAGTTCGGATTGCCTTCATTCTTGAAGTTTAACTAAAACGTCCGTATCTGGTCTCGGCGCGAAGCAGGTGACAAACTGTGTGTGAAAACACGACTTCAGATTATTTCATCACATCAGTTACCTATTACATCGGTTACCTATTATTACAAGGCGTTAGCTATTACCCAGATCACCCCCTGTCATCCGCAACATCTGGGGAGCATTTTAGGTGCAAGCCTGAACTGCGCGGGCGATCAAGCAAAGACAAGTCGTTCTGCTGACAATTATCTGAGGAGTAAACGTACAAACCTGCTTGCCCCCACTTTAGAGGAATTTCTTTTTTTCTTGTTCTCTCCAGATGTGTTGATGGTGAAATGTTGTGAAAACAGAATGGGTAAGTTTGGGTTTGAGTGTAGCGGTGGCGAATGCAGAAGAGCTAAACAGTGGTTGGCTGCCAGCCTGCAAACAGATCTGGATTTATAATCCGTCTGACAGCAACAAACTCAGATCCTCCCTGGAGCGGCATGCCTCGTCTTGCACACGCAGACGACACAAAAAAAGAAAGACCATTCAATGTAACGCCTATTGTTTGATATCTGTTTATAATACATATCCAGAGAATTAAAAGAAAACTAATTCCAGCCTTAAAGGGGGAATATTATGTATTTTGTTGGCACATTTTATATCACAATTAAGTAAGTTGTTATAAAAATGCTGTGAATATCAAACATGTCTTAAAAGAAATTTGACTGTGGAAACTGACACCTTGAAATCTGACCTCTGTCTCTTTAAGAAAGTCCTACTCACTCCCACACTCCACCTTCAGGAAGTCATCACAACATGGCTCCTCTGTTAACCCGTTTACAGTGTTTATACCAGCGGTGCCCTGAGAAGTAGCTCCTATAGTGAGATCAGTTCTACTAGATGTTTGCTAATTGGTGCTGGCTAGTCTGAAGGAGCTGAGTAGGGAAATTGTCAGAGAGGACCACTCTGAGTAAAAAGAAGCTAAAAGCATATTCAGAGATTTGGAAAAACTAAGAACACCCTAAGTAGTTTCTCCAGAATATGAATGGGAAGTAAACAGGTGCAGCTTTGTTTCTCTGAAGCATCAGGAGATAACACAACAACTCCAGTGTTTACCTGAACCTTTGCACATTTTGTCACATTATACTTGAAAACCTCAATGTATCATATTTTGTTTTTCATGCAGCAGATCGAAACCCAGCCTCAACTAATACTGAAGATGAAAAATCTGCCCTTTTTGGGTACAACTCTACCTGATCTTTACGTCTACAGAAACACTCTTTGTCCATTCTTCTTTGGAAAAAAAACAAACAAACAAAAAAAAAAAACACTTATGATCAACCGAAGTGGCTTGCGAACATCAGTTTTCAAGTCTTGCCACAGATTCTTGTACTTGTTTTATCTGCGCTGTACTTATATTCTCTGGAGTAAGAGGTATAATTTGTAAATCTTAAGGCATTTAGTTCCACATGCAATACGAACGCACCTTTGTTGTCTTGGTCTCGCAGGTGCCGGCAAGCAGAGAATCGCAGACTCCCTGGTCTTTTGCCACGTTGATGCCGGTGGAACACATGTTGTCCTCCAGCACTGACACGCAGCACTGCTCCTGCGCTATCCTGCCAGAAGAAAAAAAAAACCAAAAGAAGCATTTGGTTTGCTGTTACAGTCCATTCTGTCAACCAACTTTGTAGACCAAGCAGCTTTTATTCAGTTGTTTCAAAAGTTAAAACATATCTTCTGGTCTCAGGTGAAGAATTTGTGATCAGCTGTGGTCTTTTTTTATGTTGTTGTTGGCTTATTCTCAACACTTGAACAGACAAACACAAAATGCATAATTGTGGCGTGGAAGACAAATGATGAGTTTTAAAAAAAAAAGAAATCTATTCATCCCCATGGATCAAGACTTTTGATGCACTCACAGCAGAAAAATCAACCAATCACTCAATCAACTTGGTCACAGTGACGTGAGTCAGCTAACTTGTCAGACAGGAAACTTGACATGGATACATAATAAATATAAATATGACATGATTAAAAGTGGCCCGGTGCTCAACATGTGCAACATTAAAAACCATAAAACAATAAAATAAAACAGATAAAAAGCAAGTTGCATCTAATCTAGAGAATTTTTTTTTTCTCAAGAAAGCTGAATCTTGGTCAAGTTAGATTCAGATTCAGTCCCACTGTTAGTTTTAGGGTTGACATCCTGTCTTAAGTGTTTTTCTTCCTCTTTTTGTCAAGAGTCGCCCCGTATTTAGATTTTACCGGCTTCCCATGAACTCCATCAAACTCCCGGCGCACTATTATGTGATTTGTCAAACATATAAAATCTCGATAAAACGTTTGACGCAGACAAAATGCGTCATTAGAGAAAGTCACTCATATATAATAAACATGCTGATTCCGGTCAGAAAAGGGAGGCCTGGCCACCGCTTAGGTGACTAATGGTTGCTGGGAAATGCAGCTTTATTGCATCAGCAGCATTGCACGAATCGGCAACTATGAAGACATCAGTGACATCATCCCAGAAAACTGCAAAAACCCTTCAGTTCTTTCTCATCGTTGTTTCATCAGAAGGAAAGTATAAACTCTAAAAAAGACAAGCGCACAAACACCAGATAAAAGTTTCGCATGACTTTTTCTGCATGTGAAGTCGGTGGGGACTTGGTGACCCAGTGTGATCTGACATGCTTTTCGGATGCATGTAAGAAGTTTCTGAGATGTCAGGATATCTGAGAGTTCACTGATATCTCGGAGAGTTTCCTGAATTTTAAACGGCTGTACTGGAAGAACAGAAGCGGGCGCTCGCCACAACTTTCCCCCAATAAGAAACCGTATCGTTTCTAATTTACGTCAAGCCACTCTCTGCTTCTACAAAAACTATCGAGAGCGGCAGCTATTCTCCTAATATCCCTACATTCCTTATCTCGATACTATTTCTTCTTCGCCTTTCTTCTTTAATATCATGTTTCACCTCCCAGGCAATCATTTGGTCTGAAACAAGCCCTCGTTTTAACCTTCTGTGACTATGAGCCCCATCATCTCCACCTCCAGGCACACCCTCCTGCGTCGCTAATGCCTCCCGGTTTCCGACCTTCCACTTGCACTATAATTTTGAGGAATGTAAGATAAGTCACATCGCCTCTGGGAAACACATTTGCCATTTGTGTTCGCGGGCAGAGCTCTCTGGCCTTTGGGGGGCATTCAACCTGTGGCAGAACACCTTCTAGGATTACAGGGAGGCCTGTTACTATCCCATCACTATTAGTGTTTCCTGCTCTCATATGAAGTGAATAATGTGTTTGGAGATTTACGGGAGTAAGGTAAAGATGTTTTGAATTAGGAGCGAGAGAAATTTCCCGGCACAGGCCGAGATCCAGATGGGAAGGTGAAACTTTGTGGCACAAAAGGTGAAGGTTTTCATGACCCCACCGGATTAACATGAATTGGGATCAAATGAGGACCTCCTTACCTGCAAGTCATTGAAGAGGAAATGAGGGGGAGGGATGCACAGTCATTGTTATCGTTCGCATGCTTCTGGCCGTTTTTACAGCAGTCGTCCACTGTGGTGTGTATTTCTCCTGTGAAAACAACAAAATCATTTGCTCACAAAACAAAAAATGCTGACCAAGTGTGGAAAACCATGAAATCCAACTTTCTGGTAGTAGTTTGGCTGGAACGGGTTCAGCTAAAGCTTTCCGAAGAAGTGAGGTGTGAATGACTAACACCTTGCAAATTATGAAAGATGCTTTGTGAGGACCTTGTGGTAGGTAGCTCGAAACTATGTTGCACTTTAACGATTGAAATTTAAGGAAAAAAGTGACATAGTTCATGCAGAAGAGTTGTCAAATTTTCCACACAAAGACAGGAACTTTAGGTCTACTCGGTGGGGACACTGGGTTCAGGATGGATTCATCACTTTTATATCGCATTGGCTTTTTCTTTGTGGAACTTTCTGGTTATTCTTTCAGGGCATTCACAAGATCAGACGCTGATGTTGGACGGGATGGACTGAGGTTAGAACTCAGAAATAAGATCTGATATCTTGAGTTCAGATTGGAGATGACGTAGGAGCCATAACGCTAAATATTTGTTTCCCTTTTTCTGTCAAAGCGCTCGGAGCAAACAAAAGAAAAATGCAGCTGAAGCGAAGAGAACAGCCAGTACTATGTTTTTGTAGGACAGAATTTAAGTAGGACGGAATTAGGTCAAGCAGAAAGTGAAAGTCTCATTCCAAAACAGTTCCTAAAGAGTTGGGAGCATAACATTGTCCAAAATGTCTTGGCATGCTGAGGCTTTGAGAGTTTTACTTTTGGAACTAAACAAATGCAGGTTCGAAGACCTGCGTGAGTGAATGTAAGTGTGTACATCTATTGTACATGTTTACAATGTTAACTTTGTTGTTTGTAAGTTTGTTGTGTCCTAAAAGAGAAAATCCAACAAAATAAATTGAAAAAAAAAAAGAGTTTATTTTTGCTACAACTAAAACCCCATTCCTGAAAAAACAGCCCCACACAACGCCGTCGGGTAAAATCGTTGTTTGGTTAGCAGTCGCCAAACTAAGACTTGTACATCCGCTTTCCAGACAGTGAAGCATGAGTTTCCACTCCAAGAACACATTTCCATTGGTTTGGAGTGTAGCAGTAGCATACATAAGTGTTGATGTAAAGGGTTTGGGTGAACCTAACCATTAATATGGTGCAAAAGAGAAAACAGTGCAAAATGTATAAACAAACATTCTGCAATTTATATTTTGAGGTTTAAGTTGCTTATTGTTGACTTCACCCTCCTGTGCAGCAGCTGGTTTGACCCCCCTGCGCTCATTTCTTCCGCCGTTCTACTAATTGAAGCTACTCTGGCTGTGGTCTAGATGTGGTCTAGCAGTGGTAGACTATTAAAACTATAGTAGGAAAACTGAAACTCTGGCAACATGCAACATGGGGACATCAACCACCATCAGAACGTAGACACAATTTCTACTTCTTCTGAACAGTTCAGTTCACTCCTAAACTCTCTGTGACACAGTCGTTCCTAATTGAGTCTTGATGATCATATTTGTATGTCGACTCCAAATAAAAGAAGACTTCATCCTTCTGCTTTAATATCCTTTGTAAGATTGATGAACTGCAACATCTTTTACAGTCATTAGGGATTTTTGTTTTTTCGTCTGAGGCACAGGATGATAAATACGTTGGTGGAGACACAAAAGAGGCTTTTGACTGGAGCGCGACCAGTTTTGTGGTGATCTGGCTGCTGATTCGTGTGGATTAGAGAATGTGGAATGCCTCAGCTCTGTAAACAATCGTCGCAATCACGTCAAGTACATTCACTTGCCTGTGGTTTGTGTGAACTGCCAAACATAAAAATATATATATATATATATATATATATATATATATAAAGAAAACAAAAGCCTTGGCAGATAGATATCTTCTTGAGAAGAATTTTGCCTATGGCTAGAATCGGGATTTGTATGCCACGCTGTTTTTTTAAAAACGACTCCCAAGACGGCAAAAAAGGGGGTGAAGCCAACTAAGTCTGAGTTGGGTTTTATTGAGTCTTGGTAACAGAACCTTGGCTGTGGTTTTTTGAGGAGTGATCGGGAAATGTGCTGTATGGCTGCTTTTGTCTGGGGGTTGTCTTGGCTGCTGAGAGCAGTCTGGCAGGAGAAAGCAAGTTTAGATAGTGAGAGATTGAGCTGGGAGGACAAGTGTCTGGACCAGCACGGCCTGGTTTTACAACGTTGTCTGTCTTCTTCCACAACAGCAGAAGGAAATGCGCAGCAACCACTAAATGCAAACAGCTTTACGAAGGCAAATGTGAGGGCAGTCATTACTACAAATAGACAGAAGAATGATAAATGTAGTCCAAAGCCAGTAAGATATTCACATGCAGTTATCGTAGGTATAGATTTTAAGATTTTGAAATCTTTTTTGAGAGAAGATTGATTAAAAAAATTTAAAAAAAAAAAAATTTAAAATTTGTAGCGGCCCTCATGAAGATGTGACAGAGCAGTCATGCAGGTTGGTGTCGGGGCTATTTTCTTCCAATTGAAGGATCATTGTAAGTAATCATTATCCCAGTATTGACAAAAATAATCATGTTTGCCAGAATCTTACAACTCTTGGCTGAGATTGAAGTCATGTAAATATATTTGTGGGAGTTTACATATGTATTTGAGTCTAATAATCACACTAATTAGAAAGAAGATGTATACTGAATGTGCGTTATTTCTGATTTTCTGACTGATTCAAGGAATAACATATGTATGATAAAATTGTAAAAGCCCCAAAATATCTGTGGATTTGTGTTTTTCAGGTAACCAGAGAAACATGCAGCAAAACCTCAGATTACAAGTGATTATCAATATCCCTTGAATAATAATAATAACAAAATTGATTTCATCCAACCGAACCGTTCCACAAAAACACTGGTTTCGCTTCTCCATACAGGAGGTTCAATGTTAAAATTTTTGGTGACCTTTGAACTTAAAGAGGCAAAGGAAGCTCATTAACAAGCTACTAGAATTGAGAACATCTCTTTGAAAGTGCCAGAAACAGAACCACAGGGTTGTGAATGTATAAACTCTGGATTCATTGGTGAAACGTCAACTTCGCAGTGATTTTTGAGATTTGCAGTCACATTTCAGAGAATTAAGCCAGAAGGGTAATACTTAAAGTAAAGCAGGTTAATAGAAACATTGACCTTTAAAAATGCTATTGAAGATAATGGAGTGGACCTGAATGGTGCTGAAATTAGAGAACAGAGTTTATTCACATATTAAAGAACAATTTCACGAGCTTTCTTCCTTTAACAGATTTTTGCTAAGCTATTCCATCTTACCAGTTTTAAAAGCTAAACTGAAATATCACACATTTAGATCCACAAATCGTGCCGTCTGGTATCATAGGTAACGCGTCTCCGGCACACTCTGACTGGCTCAGTTATCCTGTGACCGGTTTCTCTGTTTCTGTGACTCATGGTCTGTCAGAAGAGGGGCTCGTTCCCATTTTGGATGAAGTTGCTGGTAGCGAGGGCCATTCTGTCCATGCGGAGCAGCACGTGGCTTGCCTGAGTCTAGACGCCTCATGTAAACACAGTCTATCGAGCCCACTGGTGGAGCTCCGCCCAGGCAGAGTAGCTTGTCTGGAACAAGATCGCATCGGAGAACTGGTCCGCTTTCCAAGCCGCACTCAAAGGGCTTTTAATGGGAGCTTTCTGTTTTGCCTGGGTGATCATAAAAGTCGAGCACAGAGAGACAATTGATGGTCTGCACTCATTCGCTCAATAGCTCACTTCCAAAATAACAGCATAATAGTGACTGTCCCAAGTAATGTCAAGCTATTGACATCTTTTGAATAAAAGCTCAGAATAAAATGCATCAGCATCCTACACTTCGGCACTCCTGTTGTGTGTGTCAGGGGATAATCGGGCCCGTCACCACACTGTGGTTGTGATTTGAAACTTTTAAGTTTCTTCTCCACAAAACAGCCAACAAAAATTACTTGTTAACTGAGACGTAGAAAAGCAGCATAAACAACCCCAAAGACCCAATTTCAGTACTTTCGTACAATTGTGCGTTATTTATGTTAATAATTAGGACTCTCATCATAAACTTCAAAACACGATTTCATTTCTTGAGATGACCCTCAGTGGGATTCTGACCCCAACTTACAGCATCACTGGTCCAGTCATAAAGGAGCTGAATCGTCCTTAAGATGTTTGGAATCACCCAACTGTAACAGGACAATACATATTATATTTATGTTTTGTCCAAACTTGTTCATTATCAATTTATTTAAATCAGGTATGCTCAAGTAGAGCTGAGCAACAAATCAATAACAATATATATCGCGATAGACATGCGATCGATATGAACAGATAATACGACATGATAGAACGTTAGTAACTTCGCTGAACTCCCATCCGGAGCAGCAAGGCATTCTGGGAAATGTCGGCAGAGGAAAGGCTTTAGCAGCTCAACCCGTCACGAGAGGGGGGGGCGGGCGGGGGGGGGGGGGGGTAAGCAAAGCTGGGGGCATTAACTGACTCGCTCGCTCTTTGGTTGCCTAGTAAAGGTTTCACCGCTGTGTCTCTTAACTGCTTAAAAATAAAAATGAAATGAAAAAAATCAACAGTGTAAAGTGAAAAATGTGGCTAAAACATGGAAAGTCCTGTCACCAGTGTGTCAGTGTTTCAAATATTTCCAATGAACGAAAACCTAATCAATCATCATCGACATCAACTGGTATCGATGATTTGTTTTTCAGCCATGTCGTTCAAGCATGGAAACATCTACAGCAAGCAGAGCAAAGGTCAGAAGTGTTAAATAACACATCCTGATCAATAGTAAAACTCATCAGAAACCAGAAAATCCAACAGAGACAACATACTGCTCAAAGATTATTTTCAATATCAGCATAGTGAAGTCAGAGGACGTTCAGAAATGCAGAAAGATATTTCAAAACTAAGCTATACTTTCTACCTGAGGAGACATGTCGGTGGTACGCTTCGGCTGCCAGAAAGTGAGAGAGAGCAGGACTCGAAGCAGATAACAGGAAGGCTGAACATATTACAGAGTGGCTGTCTTGGTTTGTCATTTTGAACTTTCACCCTCTGTTGAGTCTCAAGCCAAAACAGATTTACAAGAACCGGAAATCAGCAGTGGGCCAACACATTTCTGATAGATGAATCTGTATAATGAAGTCTCTTAAAGGGTTAGTTCAGAATATCTAATATACATTAGATATTCTATATGTAACATCAAAGCGCGCATTGCCTTTTGACTTGCACGGCAGAAGAAGCTGCACTTCACACCTTTTAATGAATCAGGCAGGCTGCGATTTAAGCCAGAGCTTTCTGCACCGCGGTTGCATCCAGTCACTCCAACAAGGGGCTTTTCCTGCAGCCCTTTGAAGCGCCCAGCTTTCAACAACAAGCCCCAACCAGTCCACAGACACAATCACCACTTCCTCAAGCCCCCACTCTTGTTTCATCTGCTCCTGTCTCTTAAGCGTCTCTGAACTCTGCACATGCAGCGCTCCAACGCGCCTATCGTTACGCATCAGCGCCGGTGACCTCGTGCAGAGGGTAACTTGAAAGTCCTCGCGCGCAGGTGACTTTACCTTGTCCGAGGAGAAACCCGAGCAGAGAGCAGAGCAGCGCCGCGCGCAGAGCCATCGGGGGACCCGGATATCGGCCGCAGGAGGGTTAGAGAGGAATGTTACAAAATATATATATATATATATTTTTTTTTAAATAAAAAAAAAGGAGAGAGAGAGAAAGGTTCCCGATCCTGCGAGAGTTTGTTCCTTGTGGATAAACGCAGCGCTTCTTCTGAGAAGGAAGGTCCAGCTGAGTGTGTGGAGGAACAGTGGATGTGATGGAGCTGCTGGGAAGTCTGCAGCCTGCAGCCAGACTGCAGCGTCTCGCGGCACCGTGAGGGGCGGGCTGGGTCCACTGACACCCACTTGTTGCTCATCAATTACAGGGCCGATCTCTGTTCCCTGCTCGGCTCCACGTCATTCCCTCCAGCATTTCATTTATGCGCTGAATGTCACGTTTATCCGACTCCCGTTGTCGCAGGTTTTTCATCTTGTGTCAAAGAGCCAAATTCTGGCCACTATTTCCGTGGCCCTTTAAAGTTAAAGAGATAGAGCTTCCTGTCGCCAGTTGTGTGCTTAGATATTAATTTGCCACTCAGATCAAACGAGTTCTTCAACATGATCCCAAATCATCTCAATGTTAATTATTGTAGCATTTTTTTAGAAGTACTCATCCAACGCAGAAAAGCCATCATCATTTAACAACTTGTAGTTGGTGACAAATGAAAATGAGATTTCCAAGTGTCCTGAAAAGCACTTTGACAAAAATAGACCATTGTTACTTTAAATCATCTTTTCTCTAAATGCCTTCAGACTGTCTCTTTTGTCTCTCCCCACCGTGTCCTGGCCTGCACACGTGGAAATTGTGTCCTCGTCAGTGGCAGGGCAAGAGACCTTCCGTGTCCGTGACTAACGATCCTAGAGATTAGTAAACATCTGGAGGCGGTTTGGAGAGCTTTGTAAAAATGTGTTGCGGTTGTGTCCAGACGTTGTGCCTTTTAAAGCCGGTGGAAGTTTTAGGCATCAGTTCTGCGGACGACAGGGACGTAAAACGTCAACAGTATCGGATGTCGGTCCCGTCGCTGCGGTGCCGGCCACAAACTTTCATCTGTTTGATTGGTATTTCAGTCCAGTAGAAAATATTTTTATTTGTCCCAAAGGGGAAATTAAATGTTGTCATGACTCGTATCATTCACGTATGGTGACTTCGAAGAGTCAGTGTGGACGGCGATGCTGCGGGAGTAACGGATCTCCAGTAACAGTCAGTGTTGAAGCGAATCTGAAGAGGCCTCTGACAGAAGGCTGTTGGGCAGTCTCATGATATCTGGGCTGCAGACATGAAATACCACATTAATGTTCCAGATGACACCATCAGTTGTTGCCAAACACTGCTAATCCGCCTCATTTGCTTTTGCCGCTCCCCTATAAATCTCTGTCTGGCTGCAAGGATAGAAAGATTTTGGAGTTGAGGATGAGATTCCTGCTCGTTTGACCATCTTTCCCTCTCAAAACTGTGAACTGGTAGAGACAAAACCCCCAAAACACTTGCAGCTGCAGCGACAGATAAATGTAGCTCTGCAACGTTTCGACTCAACGGTCTTGAGCACAAACACGTTTCACACCTTCAGGCTTTTGTTTGCAAAAACTATACGCATCGGTTTCTTTCCACTTCAAAGTCTTCTTCTGTCAAAAGCCCAATCATAACCTGCCAATTGTCACGAAAGGTGTGAATACTTCTGCGAGTCACGTCCTCGTATCAGAGATTATTGCGAAGTGGCCGAACGCCTTTCCTTGAGCCCAGGCGTCCCTCCGCATCTCTGCGGTAGTTTCATGGTTCCCTTCAGGCCCACAACTAAGCCTATTTTTCTCCATTAAAGTTAATAAGTTAAGGCTTTTTGTAATGGTGCCACCAGCTGGAGGGAAAAGGTGTCTGTCAGCCAAAGTGATTATGGACTCTCAGAAGGGTCTGGGTATAAACAAGCTGCTCACACACACACGCACGCACGCACACACACACACACACACACACGCACGGATGAATACTCAGGTACACACTCGCCTGCCAGACTTGGCAAGAGGCGCAGAAATAATTGCTAGACTGCATTCAAAATATTTTGTACCAGCTAAGGCCCTCTGCAAATTCAATCAGTCTACTGATTCTGGGCATGCTGACAGGAGGAGGTTAAACGATCCTCTAATCAGAGCCAGATGTCTCCTCCTCCACCAGCAGTCTAGTCGGTCAAGAAACATCAGTGTGGACTCGGCATCATCAGGGAAATAGGAAAAACCGCAGCGACATGACAGCGAGAAATAGATTACTGCAGTGTGAAAGAGGAAAAAGGCTCTGCTGTGCTTGATGCCACTATCTGGGTTTAGTTGATAATTAAAGTCAGTTGAAAGTCTTTTTAGCACTATTTATATCTCTTTGAATGTTTGGGGGAGGGTTATTTTTTTATTTTAACAATATAGCCACTTGTGTATTTATTTACTTTACTGGGATTTTATCTGAATAACCAGAACAATGCATCAAACAAGTGTGAAGTAGAAGAAAAATCGTAAATGGTTTTCAAGGTTTTCACAAATAAACATGTGAAACATTTGACACATGCCTTTTTGCCTTTTGAAGGATATCTCTAGAGGCTTATTCTTCTTTTCAAATCTTACCATAGATTTTTTTGGGGGGGATTCAGATCTGGACTTTGACTGCGCCATTCTAAAGCACGATCTAAACTGCTCTTCTCTATTCTGGTTAGAGAACGGAGACCCAGCTTAAAAAAAAACAAAAAAAAAACAGTTGAGTTAATTTTTTTAAATGTGATCAAATTTGACAAACTTAATTTATTTACAGTAAATTTATTTGAATTTATTGTCGACATGACAACTTGACAAACTTAATATATTGAATTGGATAAACTTAATTTGATTACTTGCTGCAAAAAATCCCCTTTATCGTCCCACTGTGGCAAAATTTCAGTGCAACAGTGGCAGGCGATAACAGAAAATAAACTTATACAGACAAAATATGTAAATAAAAGCAGGACAATTAATAAAATACAGGCAAGATTTAAAAAATAAAGTGTAGCAAAAAAAAAAAACAAAAGCTCAGAGAAATTTGCAGCTGAGTTGGTTAAATTAAAATAGTATAAAATGTGCCCATCTCACTGAGCATTAAAACACAAACTATCTACAATTAGTGACAATAAAAAGAATTGTACAGATACCAGCAGGGATGTAAACACTTGCTAAATTTGGTGGGAGCAGTGACTTTTATTGAGTGGGTAATGGAAGGATCTGACAAAGACGTAACAAATCTAGACGCTGCCTTTAGAGCCTATGGGAGGTGATCTGTGACATGGGAAACACATGAGCTACAAGATCTAAAGACAAACACTAACCTTAAAAGAACTACAAAAGAAAGAGAGTGAACTGTGAATATAATCAATTGAAATGCATAAAATGCACCAAAGTAACTAAGCAAAACTTTTAAAAAAAATCACATTTCTTGACAAAAGCACAAGTCCTCTTCTTGAAATCCATTACATTTCTCGACTTGTTTGAGAGAGTCGTGCTGTTAGAACCGCAGAGGTGCTGCAAAGGATAAACAGCTAATTCATTACATGAATTAACACATCTGTCAATCAGTGGGTCTTTTTAAAATCCACTTTGATGGCCACGCTTTAATCTTTTGTCAAAATAAAAACCTGTACACACCGTAGAAACTAGAAGCTCGTATTTTAGACGGATTCAGTGAACACCTCGGCAAACTGAAAGAAAAATCAGGAAATCGGTCATTGCTTTTCATTGCAATGACTGACAAAAATCACTGACAGATGAATATATTGGTACAAATTCATCTGTAAGACTACATCACTGGGAGAAACCCCTCTGTACTTTCACTCACTCATTAATATTTGTACGATGCTTTAATGTTTTCTGAACAGGTCGTAGTTGAAAATGAGAATTTGCTCTCAATCAATTTAGATGGTTTAATAAAGATTAAATTAAAAAAAAACATACATAAATAAAATAACTCAAGGAACAGACTTTAAAGTGCCTGAAAAGAAAGAAACTACCTGAATAGAAACTCTTAGAATGACTGTAAATGTATCGATGTTAGTTATGTGACACAGGCTTTTATAATACTTTGGGGGGTTTTATTATAGTTTATCTTTATTTTGTTGTGACTTTTCACTTGTCTAACTCAGTTATTTAGGTTTTAGGGTGTCTTTGCTAGTTTTTATCAGTTATTATTTGTGAGTTTTACTTTAGTTTGTATGAGTTTTAGTGTTTTATCCTTTGAGAAATCTTTGAGTGCAGAATTTAAAAAGGTCGAAGGGTCATATTGTGATTACGTATGCATTGATTGGATACTGAATACTCAACAACAGATGCCATTAAAACAACAACAAAAAAAGTGATTAAACTGCTGTTAACTCTCTGATAAACTTTTGCAATTGCCATTTTGCGGACTAGCCGCCTGGAGGAATATGGAGCATCGTGATTAGCTGACAGCTGATGTAAACTGCTTGTGTGGGAAAACAAAAATATAAGTTTCACATATTTGTTTTAGCTAGTTTTAACGCATGACAAAGCTCCAGTCAGTTAGCGAAAATGCTCTCTTAAGTTCAGCTTTTGTCATTTTGTCACTAAGCCCTCTTTGGAGTCATCACACCGCATTACTTCCGACCGAAACCTACGCTTATCTTTGCATATAGCAGATTAGAGATAAAAGTCTGAATGAGGAACATGTGAGCGCAGCCTCCCATGCTCCCAGCCTCACTCCTCCTCTCCACCACCACCGCGAGGTCTTAACGAGAAACAGCAGGGGGGACCTGACCTCCCAGCTAATGCGTGGAGGAAATTGGAGTTCCCGAAAGGTTGTCCTCCAGCTGTGTTAATCTTGTTGTGGGAGGGGGGGGGGCGGGCAGCTCAGGTCAGGTCCTTTGAAGCTCAGTAAAGCTCGGTTTGCCACGTATGTGTCACCACTATCACGGCTGGGCAGACAGAAGACCCCGTTTACGCCTCGACACTGCTGCAGCGCAATGAGACCGATAATAAAGTGCTGGACAGAAAAGTTTGAAAGACATTTTGCCTAAGTGTTGTTGTATGATCCATTTTTCCCTCTATCTCTTTTAGCCTTTTTAACCGCTTTCATGGACACGCTGCAGCTTACGTAACCATCTCTAAGTGTGACTGTCGGTAAACAGACTGAAACTGATTAGACTGCCCTTCACGGGGGTACAGATTGCAGGGAAGAATAAAAAGCTAAACTAGTCTTTGCCT